GTTAGAAGTATGTATTCATTCTTACTTCAAAGGAGTCCATCCATATGGTGAGTTAATGACTTGTTGTCCTTCAACTGCCATTAGCTTTGGTACACTTGGACCACAAATGTCCAAGTCCACTAACCCCACCTAAACCAAAGTTAAAATTTGTCCCAATTTACCAAATGTCATTTAAATAAAGTGAATTTGGGTCAAACATATTTGTAACTACCTTACAATTTGTATTTCATTTCATTAATAAAAAATTATGATTTTGATTGTTTTAAAATCAAAGAAATACAAATCAACCTAGTCTGAAATCATTTTAACCCTCTAACCGATAAGAATGACTAGAATCTAATATTTATCTCCTTACAATATCACTCCTGAATCACACATCAAGATCAAAAGAAAAAAAAGAAATGATCACCAGCCAAAGAAGCAATTGATTGTTTACCAAATTCTCCTTGTCAGCACCTTAGGGAATGTATAGAGAACAGTGTGGAGAATATGCATATTGATGTTAGGGTGTAAAGGGTTTAACCTGAATTCCACTTTGACCAGCAACATGTTCATTGTATAGTTAATGCATCCCCTAAGAGTTTATTTGGCCACTGTATTTGTGATGTATGGTGGAGTGTAGATAGTTTGAACTCTTAAGAAAAGTGGCTTATTTCAAGTACAAAACTGAGAGGTTGAGTTGTATAATGTTTCCCCCAACATTGACATTAAAGTGCCACTAACCCTGTCAATTTTTTTTTCATTCAAATAAATATCCTTCTTTTACTGATCAGAGAAAGAATTACTAGAATTAAATAAAGCCTCTCAATACTACAATGAGTTCAAGCGAAACAGACTGTATATCCCTCAGTCAGGATATAAAAATTTACACGACTGCAAAATACCTGGTTTTTCATCAACCCTTTACAACCTAACATCATTATACATAATCTCCATACTGTTCTCCATACATTTCTTAGGGTGCTGACAAGGAGATTTTGCTCAACAATCAAGAGCTCCTGTACTTGTTGATCATTTCCTTTATTCTCATGACCTTAATGTTTGATTCAGGGCTGATATTATAAGGGGAAATTAGATGCTAATCGCTCTTAAGGGTTAAAGGTTAAGTGGTTTTGACATTTATAATACTTCTGTCCTTGTACACAGTAACACATGTAAAAAATATTTTCAGTGTACACCGGCTCTACCCTTACTAGATGTAGTACCTCATGTCTTATAATGTTACCTTTTGGCCCATGTTAGCAAGAGCCATGCTAAGATTAGAAGCCACACTTGATTTACCAACTCCTACAAAAATCCAGATTTAAAAAAAAAATCTTCACTGATTAATTATGTGGTTTGTAATTTTATTTTGATTCCTAATGGTGCTGTAGAATTCCAATGGGCTTAGAATATGTAATCCTGTTGGTTGGAAGCTAATTACAAAATATTATGCTAAGTATCCACCTGCAATATCTCCCGATTTAATAATCACCATGCTTGGATCTTGGACATTTTGAGAAAGATATCCACGCTGGTAAGTTGTAAGGAATTTTCAGCCCTTCCAACTCCTTCAGTCTTGGCCATAATGTTAACCTTTTCCCATTACTTAACCCTTTCACTGCCAAGTTCTAATTAGTAATTCTCCCTTCTAGCTATTGCACATATCCCCGTAGATTAGTTATGAGAATTTGGTGTTGGATCAAGACAACAACTTCTACCTGATAAGTTTGAATATTCTCATTAGCTGTTTGCAGGATAATGTAAGGATATTATCGGAAGAAGTTTCATGTTGATCACTTCTGGGAATTAAAGGGTTAACCATGCAAGAAAATAGGCAGCTTTAGTAATGAATTAAGATGGTTTACGACAATAATTATGACATGTACTTTTTCATTTTAAAATTGGTGTAATGAGTCATAAAAAAGAAGTAAAAATTTGAAACAGGAGTGAAACTCAGATATGGTTTGATGCTAATCTGGTTTAAAGATTTAATGAGTGAAACTGAGAAGTTACAATTCATAGACCTAATGTTTTGACACTCCCGTCTGGTGCCTACATCAGAGGTGATCTAAATGCTGCAACAAGAGGTCCTTTATGATAAGACAGGTGCAAGGAAGAAGGAGTCAAACCTAGATTCAAATATAATGAACTAGGAAACTAACTTCAATTTGATTGACTTAAAATAGTATATTGCGGTACCGTGTACAATTTATTGCAGTTGAAAGTGATAAGTGAATTCAACCAGCTTGATTTGTGTTTCCTTTGTTAAGAATTAAGGTAACATATCCAGAACAAAGGAAAATCAAATCATACTAGATTTAAATCATTATGATCTGAAATTAATTCAAGACTACAACACATTATTACCCCCTTTTCCTGATAAAATAAGAATCTTATGTTTGACTGCATTCATTCGCAAATCAATCATCTCTTGATCTGGGTCCAAAACACCTGTTGATCATTAACGTAAAAAATGAGCTTTAGGACTTTTAAACCAAGTGACCAAATTTTTCCTTTCTTTGCATATACTGTACTTCAATTTTTTTTTCATGGCCAAAAACTGATGTTTGATTAGATTTACAACAATCAAAATAGGACTAATTTCAATTTGCCCCCAGTGATTTTACTCTATAATTTCTCTATCATATTTCACTGTGGAGACACCAGCAAGTAAAGAGCTTTCCTCAATTTGAAATATGTTCATGTGGGGGAATTCAATCTTTTCAAAGAAATTATGATGTATGTCAGAGAATAATAATTATATAAAAAAAAACAGGCCAAGCTAGCTGTACAGTGTTCTTATATTTTGTATAATTTGTAAAATTTAAGCTTGAACCAAGTTAATGGTGTGCATGTGTTATTTTAAAAATCTAATGTTTGAAAACAATGTACCTTGTTGACTACAGAGATACTGTCCTGGGCATCCTTGACATACAGCAGCTTTACCTGCCAGGGACTGATAAAAGAATATTATGGTAATTACATTGACTGGACTATACCTGAAGCCACTCTTTAGGTACAGCTTGTGTAATGAAAAGTTACCTGGCACCATCATTGTATTTTCTTCATCACACTTTCCAGAAATTATTATGAAGGTTCTTCCTGAAGATCTACACAGTATCAATCACTCAATACTCATCTGAAAAATATCTTTCGCATGGGTACCCTGGGTGTGGCACAGTGTGACCTCCATCCCCCTTCTTTGAAAAGGCCCATTTACACCCCAGTAGCTTCCACGCCCCTGAGAAGCATAAGCAAGGTCCATACCATTATTGAGGGTCCACTTATGATAATGGTAAGGTCAGTATTATGTTTCTGCCGAGCGATTAGAAGGACGAAAGAAGACCAATCATCACGCAGACCCAGACCATCACCTCCAAATTATGGTAGGTTGCTACAAATTTAGATACCCAAGTTGCTAGAATAACTCACCGTCTGTGAAGGACATCCAATCGCAGTTGCTCTATCACCATCCGCCTCCATGGTTGAGTTAAATTTAAAACAAAATGATACTATCTTCTGATGAAACCATTTTAAAACTCGACCAATCTTAACTCAATTCAACGACCTTCAAATAAACGCGCTTTCCGCACAAACCTCATGCGCCATGTTGAACGCGCAGCTTCAAAGGACTGGTACGAATGATACTAGTTTTGTTCCCAGGCTATTCTCGTTCCTGAATGCAAGTCGGAAAACAACATGGAGGATCTATCACTCACATTCTCAAAATATGATAAACTGACTGGTAGATTTCAGTAACTGCACATTTGAATAAATCGCTATGGTTTACCAGAGAGTGAGACCATACATAAACGTTCTTGGAATGTTTACCCGTGGTTTTGTCATTGGTGTACCTGTGGTTATCACATTCGTGGACTATGTAGGAAGCGTCAAAGGTGTAACTGGCATCTCTATGCAAGTGAGTTTCAGGAGTTCTTTCCTTGATATTAAATTTCCTTACTCTCTTACGCACATATCTCAAAATTTAAGCTCTGAGAATTTGTTGTTGTATTCTGAGATTGAAATTTTTTGTGTTATCACTTTTTGTTTGAAAATGTGTTGATATTGTGGAGAAAAATTACTCATTGGTCACGCATGAAGGAGTTATAGGGTTAAGATTTGGCGTGCAGAGTTTCTTATAATATGCCATATAAACAGAATATAAATATTCTATATTATCAATAGTTCATTAATTTTATTAATTGGCTGTTATTAACTTTTTTTCTGCCCAGCCAACCTTAAATCCCAATCCACGTAAAAGTAGTGATGTAGTGCTTGTCAACAGCTGGGCTGTCCGGCGATTTGAAGGAATTAACAGAGGAGACATTGTTACTTTGACGTAAGTGAAAAGTTCTACAGTTCAGTGTAAACAAAGACAATGGTATGAACATTTCAGGCTTCTTATGTGAAAGGTGGGCTAGAATATCATTCTTCATTGTGCAGGTAGATAAACCTTGCAAGCCTCACATTTGGGTGAAATTTTAATTACCATTATTTTTGCTGACAAGATCAGGAAGACTAATTTACTCTTGGATAAAGAATAATGATTATGCTCACAGTATTTGAAATAGGTCAGTACCATATTTCCTTGAATAAGCATCTGGGCTCTTATTAAAAATTTTGGCTAAAATGGGGGGGGGGGCTAACATGGCAGAAGGGTGCTTGATGGAGGGGGGTATGTATTTAAGTATTAATTAAGGATCAATATCAGTATCTGGGCAACTGCCCACCTACCCCTCCCCTAACCCAACATTAACCCTAACTTGTTATCAATAGACTGTTGTTGCACCGGTATTGCAGTGGTCATGGGTTCAAATCCCGTACAGGCCTGAATTTTTTATTCAGATCCTATTTTCAACTACTTACTCATTTCAGTGGTGTTCTTAGCTGCAAGGATCTCCTAATTTCATCTCTTCACTGCAGTCCAAATATATGAATTTCATATATCTAAAATCATCATTCATCTCTTGGATGGTTTATTTGGACCCAACACATTGACCAGCTCCCAGTTGGCTTGTTAGTGCAGTTGGTAGAGCGCTGCACTGGTATTGCAGAGGTCATGGGTTCAAATCCCGTACAGGTTTTCTTTGTATCCTAATAACTATTTAAGGAAGTGAGGGGGAGCCAGAAGGGGGGGCAGGCACTATTTGAGGGGGGTGCTTGTTTAATTTGATAGCTGATAGGGTAGGTGCTATTTCAGGGGAGGGGAGGGTGCTTATTAGAGTGGGGGTGCTTATTCAAGAAAAGATGGTGGGTTGGTTTAAAATCAACCTAACAGGAGGCATTCCAATTGGCTGTTTACAAAACACAGCTACAACATGATTGTAATTGCTATGATTTCCCTTATTATTTTATATAAACCTAGTGATCCCACAGATCCTGATGCTGCCTTAATAAAGAGAGTTATAGCTCTAGAAGGCGACCGTGTAAGGTGAGTTATGATATGATTTTAAATAGATACTACTGTTTCTGTATTCACTCTCCTGCAAAAATGTTGACACTTAGGAACTGCTTACAATGAGGGATAAGACCCTATGACCTAGTGGGTCAGATGTACTTGATAACCATCACTATTAAAAACTAGATCAATGGATAATGCAATTCAAGAGTTTCATGGGCCTAGCCATCATGGGTTATGAGCCATTATACCACACTCCACAAATATGGTAAGTGTATGCATCAGCGCAAAATTAGAACAGAGCTAAAAAATGTATTTATTTATCTTTACTTTGGTTTTATTTTAATAAAACAATTATTCCACTTGTGCTTGTTGTATATGAGATGATGTCAACTCAGCCCTACAGGCCTGGTTG